GAGCATTCCCACTGCGATACCGTGGAGCATTCCCACTGCGATACCGTGGAGCATTACCACTGCGATACCTTGGAGCATTACCACTGCGATACCGTGGAGCATTACCACTGCGATACCGTGGAGCATTACCACTGCGATACCGTGGAGCATTACCACTGCGATACCGTGGAGCATTACCACTGCGATACCGTGGAGCATTACCACTGCGATACCGTGGAGCATTACCACTGCGTTTACCGTGGAGCATTCCCACTACGATACCGTGGAGCATTACCACTGCGATACCGTGGAGCATTCCCACTGCGATACCGTGGAGCATTACCACTGCGATACCGTGGAGCATTACCACTGCGATACCGTGGAGCATTCCCACTGCGATACCGTGGAGCATTACCACTGCGATACCGTGGAGCATTACCACTGCGATACCGTGGAGCATTACCACTGCAATACCGTGGAGCATTCCCACTGCGATACCGTGGAGCATTCCCACTGCGGTACCGTAGACGTCATGAGAAACAATAACCTTCCTTGAGACATCAAGAAAAATAGTTATTGTAAATTCTGATAAAATTAACACGATATGCATTTCTGACGACTTATAAAAACTAAGGCGAAGAAATGCTCCATGATACGTAGATTTATAAGTTATTAAATCCAGTACTATGCTAAAAGACTAGGCTGGAGATTATTTTTTTTTAAATAAACCTTGAACCAGAACGTCCTCCAGGTAACACAAAAGGGCACAGTCCATATGTCGCCGGAATACCACAGTGTCATAACAAACAGTATTGGCACCAGGTGTTGGAGGGAGGGATCAAATAGAGGAATAATAAATAGGTGGTGAGGGAGAGGTGGGCGGGGCCTATGCTAAAATTGCTTATAGTGTTGACAGATGAAACGATTTACATTCCCCTTTACATTTTCACTCCGTGACTATGTAATTATGGTGGGCAAGAATACAAATATAGACACCACCTACGCGAATTACATATATCTAATGAGAGCTCATTTTCTTGTAAACTTTTAAAATTAAAGACATGAATAAGTGGGATTATCTTACATGAGGCAGGAGGAGCTGCACTGCACCTTAGCTCCGCCCACTTCTATTTCTGCGTCTGAAACTGCCCAATATAGAACAAAAATAAAACCTCCTGAATTACTTATTTTTTACGCATTTCCCATAAAAGAGGATAAATATATCTTGATTATAAATAAAAAATATATTATAACAAGCAACATTTTGCTAAAATCTGCTAAGAGTATATTTCGCGGGAACGTGATGTCATATTAAAACAAATCTCCCGCGAACGGTGGAGCACGAAGCAGGACTACAAATCACAAACACTCAACAATACACAGGACTACAAATCACAAACACTCAACAATACACAGGACTACAAATCACAAACACCCAACAATACACAGGACTACAAATCACAAACACCCAACAATACACAGGACTACAAATCACAAACACCCAACAATACACAGGACTACAAATCACAAACACCCAACAATACACAGGACTACAAATCACAAACACCCAACAATACACAGGACTACAAATCACAAACACCCAACAATACACAGGACTACAAATCACAAACACCCAACAATACACAGGACTACAAATCACAAACACCCAACAATACACAGACTACAAATCACAAACACACCAACAATACACAGGACTACAAATCACAAACACCCAACAATACACACGACTACAAATCACAAACACCCAACAATACACATGGACTACAAATCACAAACACCCAACAATACACAGGACTACAAATCACAAACACCCAACAATACACAGGACTACAAATCACAAACACCCAACAATACACACGACTACAAATCACAAACACCCAACAATACACACGACTACAAATCACAAACACCCAACAATACACAGGACTACAAATCACAAACACCCAACAATACACAGGACTACAAATCACAAACACCCAACAATACACAGGACTACAAATCACAAACACCCAACAATACACAGGACTACAAATCACAAACACCCAACAATACACAGGACTACAAATCACAAACACCCAACAATACACAGGACTACAAATCACAAACACCCAACAATACACAGGACTACAAATCACAACACCCAACAATACACAGGACTACAAATCACAAACTCCCAAACAATACACAGGACTACAAATCACAAACACTTAACAATACACAGGACTACAAATCACAAATCCCAACAATACACAGGACTACAAATCACAAACACCCAACAATACACAGGACTACAAATCACAAACACTCAACAATACACAGGACTACAAATCACAAACTCCCAACAATACACAGGACTACAAATCACAAACACTTAACAATACACAGGACTACAAATCACAACACTCAACAATACACAGGACTACAAATCACAAACACCCAACAATACACAGGACTACAAATCACAAACACTCAACAATACACAGGACTACAAATCACAAACACCCAACAATACACAGGACTACAAATCACAAACACTCAACAATACACAGGACTACAAATCACAAACACCCAACAATACACAGGACTACAAATCACAAACACCCAACAATACAACAGGACTACAAATCACAAACACCCAACAATACACAGGACTACAAATCACAAACACCAACAATACACAGGACTACAAATCACAAACACCCAACAATACACAGGACTACAAATCACAAACACCCAACAATACACAGGACTACAAAATCACAAGCACCCAACAATACACAGGACTACAAATCACAAACACCCAACAATACACAGGACTACAAATCACAAACACCCAACAATACACAGGACTACAAATCACAAACACCCAACAATACACAGGACTACAAATCACAAACACCCAACAATACACAGGACTACAAATCACAAACACCCAACAATACACAGGACCACAAATCACAAACACTCAACAAAACACACGAAAACACAAAAACACAGAAATATGCAAACAAAAACAGGATACAAATCACAACACCCAAACAATACACAAGAATACATGAACAACAGCAACAAACCAAGAATACAAATAGAACACCTAACAATCACCCAAGGATAAAATCACAGACACCAACAAAACACAAAACTACAAATCAGAAGACACAAAAAAGAGGAATCAAAATCACGAACAACCAACAAAACAAAAATACAAATCACAACACCCACAAACAAGGAATACAAATCACAGAGCCCAACCCAAACACAGAATACAAATCACAAACCCAACAAACACAGAATACAAATCACAGAGGCCCAACCAAGCACAGTGAATACAAATCACAAAAAGGCCCCCAACCAAGCCACAGTAATACAAATCACAGAAAGCTCCAAACCAAAAAACACAGTAATACAAACACAAAGACGCACCAGCGCCTTTGATCAACTCAATCTCTTGGAAAAAGGACTCGCCGCATTCTATCTTCATCCGTTTCTCTGGCGAAACTAAAGATATCGATCGATCTTTTATTGCCCTTGCTAAGTAAATATCCTTGCAGTGAGGCGCGTTAAACAAACAGTTTAGGCGAGATTCTTGGCTTAATTAAGATAAGCCAGTGGCTAATAGAAGCCGTAAATCACCTGGGGCAACGGAACGTCCAGGTGTGAAAGTCCAATCTTGTTGGGGGATTATAGGGTCTGCGATACGTTACGCCGTATCGAGAATCACACAAACACACGCGTAAAAGTCCAGTTTGACAAGTCCATATGCGGACTCCTTTTATCGGTCGGACACCTCAAGATCAACTCTTGGGGAATACAGATGGGCGCATAATTAGACATACGCGGAATAAGAGGATAAAAGTTACCCGCATTTAAAGTTAACTGTGGCAAGGTTTTTCCTTGTTGCTTATGTAGGCTTGTATATACAAGGAGAGACGTATGTCTGAGTACAGTGTATCTGTTTGTGTACGCTGATAGGTGCATTTATCTAAGTGTATATGCATAAAGTCCTGCATCTCTCTGCATATATACACTGAGATGTTTATCGCAAAGTGTATATACACTGAGATGTGTATATCCTGCGAATAAGTTTATTTTAATCTCCTCATTTGGGATTTAAGTATTCTTGATTGTACAGGTTAACTGAACCTTAATGACTCACCTGCAGTCATTAGGCAGGAAATCATCTAAGCTAAGGCACTTAGGTTTCTACACAGAGTGGTATGTTTCTCTTAAGAATATACACAGAACATATATGCAGAGCATATACACTGAAAGCCTGTTATACTCCATAACTCTGCTAGAGATTAGACTTGATGGCTAGTAACTAGGCAGGTTAAGACTTTTAATGACCCTGGCTAGTGCCACCCCACGTACAGTGCCATGACACGTACAGTGCCACCCCCGTACAGTGCCACTCACCCCAGTACAGTGTCACTCACCCCAGTACAGTGCCACTCACACCAGTACAGTGCCACTCACCCCAGTACAGTGTCACTCACCCCAGTACAGTGTCACCCCAGTAGTGTCACTCATCCCAGTACAGTGCCACTCACACAAGTACAATGCCACTCACCCCAGTACAGTGTCACTCACCCCAGTACAGTGTCACCCCAGTACAGTGCCACTCACCCCAGTACAGTGTCACTCACCCCAGTACAGTGTCACCCCAGTACAGTGTCACTCACCCTACTACAGTGTCACTCACCCCAGTACAGTGCCACTCACCCCAGTACAGTGTCACCCCAGTACAGTGCCACTCACCCCAGTACAGTGTCACTCACCCCAGTACAGTACCACTCACCCCAGTAGTGTCACTCACCCCAGTACAGTGCCACGCACCCCAGTACAGTGCCACTCACCCCAGTACAGTGCCACTCACCCCAGTACAGTGTCACCCCAGTAGTGCCACTCACCCCAGTACAGTGTCACCCCAGTACAGTGCCACTCACCCCAGTAGTGTCATTCACCCCAGAACAGTGTCACCCCGGTACAGTGTCACTCACCCCATGGAGTTTGAAGTAAAGACCACAGGCGTTACAGACAGGTTCACCACTGTTATTGCGTCTCCACAGTGTTGTGTTGGTGGTCTCACAGTTGCTGCATGTCATACCAGAACGTCGTGGCGGCTGAGGAGCCGCTGCTGGCGCTGGGTACTGCATGGAGAAGTCACCAGAGGTTAGGAGAGTGCACCAGAGGTCAGGAAAGGTCAGCAGGTGTCAGATGTAACTAGGGGTCTGTAGATGTCACTAGGGGTCAGGAGATGTCACTAGAGTAGAGGTCATAAAGGGTCAGAAGTTCCCGAGATCAGTATATGTCACCAGGGTTAGTCGAGGTGACGGGTCAGTGAAGGTCACAGGGATCAGTGGAGTTACCATGGGTCAGTGGAGGTCACAGGTTTCAGTGGAGGTCACGGGTTAGTGGAAGTCACATGGATCAGCAGAGGTCACAAGGGTCAGTAGAAGTCACAAGGGTCAGTGGGGGTCAAGAAGGTTATTAGAGGTCACAGGGGTCAGTAGAGGTCACAGGGGTCAGTAGAGGTCACAGGGGTCAGTAGAAGTCACAGGGATCAGTGGTCAAAAGGGTCATTGGAGGTCACAAGGGTCATTGGAGATCAGGTGTCAGTAGAGGTCATAGGGGCCAGTAGAGGTCACTAGGGTCAGTATAGGTTACAGGGATCATTGGAGGTCACCAAGGGTCAGTGGAAGTCACCAGGGGATCAATGGAGGTCACAGGGGTCAGTGGAGGTCACAGGAATCAGTGGTCACGGGTCAGTGGAGGTCACAGGAGTCAGTGGTCACGGGTCAGTGGAGGTCACAGGGGTCCCTGGAAGTCACCAAAAGTCAAAATATTGACCCTAAAGAACAGTATTGCTGCTTAGGTAATTAACGCTTATTATATTGATGTTTTTAGTTATACACATCGTCATACACATCGTCATACACATTGTCATATCCCAACCTAAGTTGCCATACATAATTCTTTTGTAAATATTCATAGATTTCAGTAAGTTGTCATATCACTCCTAAATTACCCTGCCACACCCTTTATTTCTGATGTCACACCCTTAAGTTGCCCTAACCCAGTGGTTCCCAAACTTTTTCAGCTTGTTACCCAATTTAACATGCCACATAAAGCATGTTACCCCTTTCACAAAATGTTGTTATTATTGATATATATGGCTAAATTAAAACACTTGAGATATTTTCTTTTATTTATTGTATTTGAACATTGTGCATCTCTAATGACTATTACCAAAGATGTCAAGAACATCAGTGGGATGGATGGAGTTGCATACTTGAAGCTAGTTTAGGAATTCTTGGCTTCATACCAGCTTATGTCTACCTCGGCTGATGCTCACAGATAAACTGACAGTGTGAAATAGAGGCAGCCTCAGGAAGTGAGTAACGCGTACTGGACAGGTCGATCTGGGCTACTGAGTGACTTTTGTCCTGAAGCATACTTGTCAAAATACTTTTGGGTTTCCACACACTTAGCTATATATTTCTTCTTTTCTAATACTGTATATTAGTTTTTGATGTTTATTGTTATTTGGTTTAACTTTATTACTTACTTATAATAGGTTTACTTTACAACTTTATATACTAAGACAAAGTTAACAATAATCCTCATACCGGGTACCGTTATATACTAAGACAAAGTTAACAATAATCCTCATACCGGGTACCGCATTGTTTTCTTGATTTTCAGAATTAATAACTTTTTTTCTGTCACCCCTCCATTACCCCCCAAAAATGGTTAAATTACCCCTAGGGGGTAATTTACCCCCAGTTTGGGAACCACTGCCCTAACCGATGCCATATCACACTTCTAAATTACTAAATCTTAAATTTATACATCTAAACCTAAGTTCATATATCACACTCTTAAATTGTCAGATTTCAGCCCTAGGTTCCTATATCACAGCCCTAGGTTCCCATGTCAGCCCTAGATTCCCATATCACAGCCCTAGGTTCCTATATCACAGCCCTAGGTTCCCATGTCAGCCCTAGGTTCCCATATCACAGCCCTAGGTTCCCATATCACAGCCCTAGGTTCCTATATCACAGCCCTAGGTTCCCATGTCAGCCCTAGGTTCCCATATCACAGCCCTAGGTTCCCATATCACAGCCCTAGGTTCCCGTATCAGCCCTAGGTTCCCATATCACAGCCCTATGTTCCCATATCACAGCCCTAGGTTCCCATATCAGCCCTAGGTTTCAATATCACAGCCCTAGGTTCCCATATTAGCCCTAGGTTCCCATGTCACAGCCCTAGGTTCCCATATCACAGTATTAGGTTCCCATATCAGCCCTAGGTTCCCATGTCACAGCCCTAGGTTCCCATATCAGCCCTAGGTTCCCATGTCACAGCCCTAGGTTCCCATATCAGCCCTAGGTTCCCATGTCACAGCCCTAGGTTCCCATATCACAGTATTAGGTTCCCATATCAGCCCTAAGTTCCCATGTCACAGCCCTAGGTTCCCATGTCACAGCCCTAGGTTCCCATATCACAGTATTAGGTTCCCATATCAGCCCTAGGTTCCCATGTCACAGCCCTAGGTTCCCATATCAGCCCTAGGTTCCCATGTCACAGCCTTAGGTTCCCATATCAGCCTTAGGTTCCCATATCAGCCCTAGGTTCCCATATCAGCCCTAGGTTCCCATATCAGCCCTAGGTTCCCATATCACACCCGTAAATTGCTATATCAAAACCTTAAGTTACTGTAGGAACTCACTGGAGTAACCTGACGTTTCTGGGAGCGAATGTGTGGTCTGTTGATACCGTTGGCTCTGCTGTATAGGCCACAGGCGTTGCAGAGGTAGTGACCTCCAGAATCCCGGCGCCAGAGCGGGGTGGTCATCACACCGCAGTTGACACACTCACGGCTCTCATTGCTGTCCGGGTCAC